GATACCGAAACTTTTGAAGTCGCTGTGTTCCCGGAGCTGGGTAGTTAATTTGAGAAGCTTTCATCGCCCTGCTAGGTGACATTTTCAGCGCATACTTCAATTTGAAGTGAGCTTTTAGATTTCTCCACGAGTTTATTAATCGTCTTTCCTGGTGACCTTGGACTTGATTGGTTGCTTTTGTGTGTTTTCACACCTTCTAGATTACTTGTATTGTCACTCATTGTTTCTCTGACTTGAACTTTGACCCTATGTGTGTGAGGTTTCTTTCTTATCGGTTGATAAATTTTGTCTATTTCGATGTGTCTATTGATTGATGATTCACTGGGATGCCAAGCTTCTAAAAATTCTCTAGCACTCTTGTTGTTTCCTCTGTATAGTATTTGAACGTTGTCCCAGTCGAATTGATGTCCGTGGTTGTCTGTATGTAGCGAAATGAGGGAGTGGATATCATGTCTTTTGACGGCTAGCTTATGTTCGTGGATACGAAAACGAAGGGGACGTCCACTTTGGCCAATGTAGTGTTTTTCGCAGTTGATACAATTTATTTTGTAGATGATGTTGGTCTTATCTTCTTTCGCTGTTGAGTCTTTTGGTTGACATAGAATTGAGTGAAGTGACTTTGTTGGTTTGTGTACGACGTCAATTCCTACAGGTTTGAAGAGTCTTGTAGTTATTTCTGGGATATCCTTTATATATGGTAAGGCGATTTTCTTTGTGCTTTCCTTGGGGGCTTTTGGTTTGATAGGTTGGCTTGGGGTATATGTCTTTTGATGAAATTCCGTGGATACCCATTCTTTTGGGAGACGTCTATGAGATATCTTTCTTCAATTTTTCTTCAGGTGGGAGTGCTGCAATGACTCCTGGCCCTCTTGAATAGTGTTTGTATGCAATTCCTCTTGTGTGCTAACCTATCAATACAACCACTATCGAAAATGGAACAACAACTACTACAGAGAGGATTAAACTACAACACCGGAGATGCCTCAGAAACTGATTTCTTCGCTACCCTTGAATCATTACTCAAATCATCAAACTTGAACTAGGAAACACAGGAAGAGATACGTCAAACAATTGTACCAATGGTCAAACAGAAAAAACAACACACACACAACTCATCTCTCGAGAACTAAAGGCCCTCAAAAAGCTGACAAACAGGAAGGACATCGTCATTCTACCAGCCGACAAAGGAAGAACAACTGTAGTCATGGACAGAGAAGAATACACCAAGAAAGCTGAAGAACTACTCAAAGACGAAGATGTGTATCAACAACTCCCAACGAATCCCATGCAAACACTGGACAACTGCATCCAAAAGGCCTTAAACAAGCTTATCAAAACCGCACAAATCACAAAACAAGACCAATGGCGAATGAAATCCAGTGTAGCAGTCCTACCCTGATTCTACAGCAGACCCAAAATACACAAGCCAAATATCCCGTTACGATCACTTGTATCACTATCGGGAACTCCAACATACAATTTATCCAAAGAATTAAACAGAAAACTAAAACACCTAACGGAATCTTGTGATCACTCCATCAACTCCGCTATCCAATTCCTAGAGAAAATCAGAGGCATCCAAATAGATAAACAAGAGATAATGATATCCTTCGACGTCACAGCGATGTATACTTCAGTCGGGAAAAACTAGGAAAAGAAACCATGGAGTAACTAATTAGCAACGGCAAACACCTCCCACAACAATCAAAAATGCGACACACAAGCTGGATGGAGTGTGTAAACCTATGTCTAACAACGGACTTCCAATTCAACAGCCTATGGGATCGCCAATATCAGGTTTGATTGCAGAAGCAGTGATGCAAAGGCTCGAAAACATAATTCTATCAAAGATCAAACCCAAGATTTGGATACGTTACGTATACGACACATTTGTAATTATCAAAAGATTCGAGTTAGATAAAGCTCACAACCTGATAAACAATGTCTTCAACGACATCAAATTCACAAGAGAAGAGGAATCAGAAAACCAAATCTCATTTTTGGACGTCTTATTCAAGTGAACAACAACAGGAGAATTAGAAACTCAAGTTTATAGAAAATCAACTCACACAGACCAAATCCTGAATTACAACAGCAACAATCCAATAGCACACAAGAGGAATTGCATACAAACACTATTCAAGAGGGCCAGGAGTCATTGCAGCACTCCCACCTGAAGAAAAATTGAAGAAAGATATCTCATAGACGTCTTCCAAAAGAATGGGTATCCACGGAATTTCATCAAAAGACATATACCCCAAGCCAACCTATCAAACCAAAAGCCCCCAAGGAAAGCACAAAGAAAATCGCCTTACCATATATAAAGGATATCCCAGAAATAACTACAAGACTCTTCAAACCTGTAGGAATTGACGTCGTACACAAACCAACAAAGTCACTTCACTCAATTCTATGTCAACCAAAAGACTCAACAGCGAAAGAAGATAAAACCAACATCATCTACAAAATAAATTGTATCAACTGCGAAAAACACTACATTGGCCAAAGTGGACGTCCCCTTCGTTTTCGTATCCACGAACATAAGCTAGCCGTCAAAAGACATGATATCCACTCCCTCATTTCGCTACATACAGACAACCACGGACATCAATTCGACTGGGACAACGTTCAAATACTATACAGAGGAAACAACAAGAGTGCTAGAGAATTTTTAGAAGCTTGGCATCCCAGTGAATCATCAATCAATAGACACATCGAAATAGACAAAATTTATCAACCGATAAGAAAGAAACCTCACACACATAGGGTCAAAGTTCAAGTCAGAGAAACAATGAGTGACAATACAAGTAATCTAGAAGGTGTGAAAACACACAAAAGCAACCAATCAAGTCCAAGGTCACCAGGAAAGACGATTAATAAACTCGTGGAGAAATCTAAAAGCTCACTTCAAATTGAAGTATGCGCTGAAAATGTCACCTAGCAGGGCGATGAAAGCTTCTCAAATTAACTACCCAGCTCCGGGAACACAGCGACTTCAAAATCATCAACCTTAGCTACAAATCTTTTCTATCGTATCTCTACCTAAACTTCTGTCGAACCCTCTAAGAGAACGCGTTCTGGAGGTAACGTGAGTTTCCCAGAATACCTTTACACCTATATCACATAATTAAGTGGTGCGATTCACCCAACTTATTCGTTTTTAGTATTATTTATATTTTTCTTTTCGGACACATCAATGTTTTGTATGGCATCACTAAACACAAGTAAAAGATTTTTCTATAACCGTACATGTCGCATGCACTGAGAAATTAGATGTATGCTTTTTTCGATGTTCTAAACTTTACATTATTTTACGGTATCTTAGATGCACATCATTTTTTTAGAACGCTGATTTGGTACATTTTCCTCGACAAGATTCTTAGCATTCTTGTTTCTTTTCTTTTTCGGGTGTGACGGACACTGAACAAGAAGCAAACGAAGCACAAGATCTAACGAACAACATCAAGGAAGCCATGTACAAACACCTTGTTAACGTTGGCAGACAGAGAAGTAGGCACTTCACCAAGCCGCTTGGATTAGTATTTTCATCTTGAAGGGAACAATAGAGCTTTTTACTTCTAAGTGGTTCTGTCTTAGGGTCCTCACAATGTACCTCAAGGTACTGAAACATAAAATCTCGTGAACTACCTGGTGTAAATAAAACTTCAACTATACTATGGATGTCGGTGTTCCAGCCCACTATTATAGAGGGATAGTGTGTGTTGACGTCCACGAAACTATGACAGACACTAACGCGGGTTCTCATACCTAACTCTCATATAGTATTTCTTCCGCCTAAACCGAAGGCGAATCAAAACACCTAATTGACCGCCGAAAATGTGAGATATATTTTTTGGTCGAAATCTTAGTTAGAGAACGATTGCTTAACCAGATAGGTATCATGTACGAGTGAACGTGGTACGACGGTGTGTGAAATGGCATGGATACTTGACCGCGAGACTTCAGTCAAATTAGTCCACTTAGAAATTGAACGTCAGCACCCACTATTGAGTGAAGAATGCTGTAGGCTAATAATTTTGGGGGATTATCCACCGTTACAAATCTTCCATGATTCTCTACGCCTGCAGCCTAAATATCCGTTTATCCTGAAGGATCAGATAGACTTATACACACCACCAACAGGCCTCAGCAATCTGCTGGGCAAGTTGAAACAATGGATGCTTGCCATCGATCGAGATAAGTTATCAAGTATCTCCTTCAGATATTCGAATGTCAATACATACCACAAAGGACGAACGCCTCTGCACTGAGTTTAAACTCATGGCTAATTAACTGTCATACTAAACCAAGATCCGGAACAACACATTGTCATGTGGCTGCAGTTTGTGGTGTGGGAACCTTTCGGAAAAAACTTTGAGCTGTAACTATAATCACTAATGGCACGGTCGTCAAAATACACCACTAGAATAGGCCTAAACCAGGAAGTTGCATCTAAGCCACTTCCACGAAATTGAAAGGTGACATGATTGACCATTAAACACCCGATTTATCGTACAGTGACAGACTGGGCAGAATCGATCCTTTCTCGTTAACAAAAGGAAGGTAGAGGAGACAGGAATTACTATGTTCTGAATCTAAAGAGAGGAAAAGGCCAAATAAAGTATAATTATACTTTAATAGTTTACACACAATGATAAGTTTTGTTATTGGTAATATTTCGAGCACAATTACTGCCCGTGTTCACACCAGTGTTGGAATTGTTTGATTCACACATTTATGATTTGTACTCGTATATATAGTGCATTATTTTTGCTCATTCATATTTTTTTTTGTATTTGAGTTGTATTCCAAGTTCATTCATGTTTTTGTATCCAGAATTAGAGGAAAAGGCCTTGGGAAATATGCTGATGGGAAGGAAAAGTAGTTTGGAGCGTAAAACTCCACAATAATTCCTATCTGGCTTTTCTATAGACATCATTCTTATAATAAACAAATTTTTTACTTTGTGGACACTTTCGTGTTGAAGGTTCAATTGTTCAGTTGTTTTGCGGCCTTTAAAAGTGCACTTTTTGGTTGGGTGCAACGGTCATGTACGTTCGTGTTTGATAAGATTTCCTACTAATGTTTCCTTTGATTTTTGTGCTTTTGAGCACTTAATACTATTTTGCAACCATTTTATTATCACTGCATCATTTTATAAGAGTTTAATGTTACTTTTTAGGACCACATTCGGTGCAAAGCTTGAACATTTGCTATGCTCCAGAGCTGAAATTATCAGCCGGATGCACAGACCGCCTCCAGCTGAGGGAAATGATTTAGAAAGACTTCTGAATTTACCTCCTGGGAATAATCCAGCCTCTCATGCTCCTCCACCTAATGCTCCTGTATGGCCAGATGAACAAGCTGCAGCATTTTGTGCTGTAGCTCCGCCTATTGAAACGTTTATGGATGTTCCAGATGAAATTCGTCGAGATCAATTTTATGCCGTAAGTTATTTTTGCCTGTTCATTCCTATTTATCTCAACATTGACGCTTAACCACATGTTTTCCTTGGTGTCGTGTTTCTAAACTCACCGATTATCATATATAGTTCATATCTATCTGTCTAATTTATGAAGTTAAATGGTTTTAATTCGAAAATGAAGGAGTGTTGATATTATTACTCCTAAAGCTTCTGTGCTAGCGACTTTTTACGTAATAATGGGTGAACTCAAGCTCTAGTTATCACTATGCAGAATAAAGGGACAATAAAAGCCGTAAAACTTTTAATTATGTCTGTACATCGTGGCGTACTATAATCTGTTTGTATTTTTAACCCTTCATTAAACTATCCCAAAACCTTAATCCTTAAACAGACCATTTAGTTATCCCGTCGGACTTCTCTCATGCACAGGTATGTTGTTTTAGCAAATTTCAATTAGTCCACTATTCGCATAGTAATCAAAATCACTCGACCTTCCTTAAGTGTTCATAAGGTAGATCGAAAACACAAGGTTTGACTAGGTTGCACCATCTGTAAATAGTTGTCGATTAGGTCATGTACTCGGATGGTTACCCCAGTTTCGCCCCAGAATAGTAAATGAGAAATGTGGCTTAAAGTGACAACTGAATTACTGATCACTAGTCAGGAGTCTATGAAACAACTAAGGTATTTTATTTTACTTTGAGAATGATGGGGTCAGGTAGCCTGTTCATGCTTTCAGTTAGTATCTGTGTGTACTCAACACTTCGGAAGCGTTGTTTTATAGTCCTAATACCTCTCATGTCATGTCATAGTTTTTCAAATTGTACTCGACTTGGTTTAATAATACTGGCGTCTTAAGTACTGGTCCCCGGTGGAACAAAAATTTGAATCGCTACTCACCGGGGCAAAATAAAGTCCTATTTCTTATGGGAGAAGAGGGGGAAACCTCTGACCATTCTGGTGATTTTCCATAAAGAGTGTGGAGAAGTCGTATGGTTAAATTATTACTTATCTCTTTGAAATAGTTTCGCATCTGCTGTTATTTGAGAACTTGCTACTTAGATGGCAAAAACAGTATTTTAATGTCCTGTGTGATGATTACGATATCCAAAAAGCATTGGTAACAGTCGAGGCACTATCTGTTGTCAATTTCGATTTATGTTAGACTATTAGTTCTGAGTTGTTTTGCTAGATATTAGTTGAACACTCAGCGAACTGGTAAAATTCCCCCTGAGAAATGTCCTAGTTTACAAGTTTACTGGAGTTTCTAGATTCAGATACGCAAACCATCCAGTTGCTTGATTGGTGTCATTTTGTAAAGATGAGTTGCCGTTGTTACGATGAGTTGTCCCTGACCTTAACACCAGTCAAGAACAAGAATAAGCTAAATAATTCTCACTTGTGTTACCTCACTGGTGGTCGCTTTAGATCCATAGTATTCAGAAATCTTCTTGGTGCCATGTTGTACCAAGTTTTTCTGCGTTCAGTTCAGATCTTGGAAATCTTTATTGATCTTCATCGTCGTACATTGTAATTTATTTGCAAAATGCAGAGTCTTCTGAACACCCTGAGCAGCAATCTTCGTATGTTTGGCATGCGATTCGCCCCTGTAAAATGTAAGATGCTGCTACAGGACTGGACCACGTCAACTCCTAGCTTAGTGATAGGGAGTGAAGTGATAGAACATGTTGACCACTTCACCTATTTGGGAAGTTGTGTCAGCACCAACGGATTGATTGATTGGTGACGAAATCTCAGCACGGATCCAAAAAGCTCGGGCTGCTTTCGCTAACTTACACCGTCTCTGGTGTAGGCGTGACATCCGGCTATCAACCAAGGGACGTGTATACTGCTCAGCAGTTCGCTCCGTCCTTCTCTATGGCGGTGAGACGTGGCCATTGAGAGCGGAAGACATGAAGAGATTGTCTGTTTTTGACCACAGATGTTTACGATCTCTTTCTCGCGTTAGGTGGTATAATAAGGTAAGTAATGTTGACGTTAGGCGTAGAGTGTTGGGCAAAGAGGGAAAATCACTCGAAGAGGCTATAAAGTTACATAGATTGAGATGGCTAGGTCACTTGCTGCGCATGCCTAGCCATCGCCTCCCCCGATGGGCACTACTAGCTGATATAGGTGCAGGTTGGAAAAGAGTAAGTGGTGGCCAAACAAGAACATGGCATCAATCCATGAAATCCCTGACAGTTAAACTGAGTCAGGTAGGGAGATGCAGACTTCCGGGTTGGGGCCCGCCCTCGGGACTCTAAGAATCAATGGCTGGAGACAATAGGTGACATGGCTCGAAATCGTTGTCAATGGCGCAGATGTATTCAGTCTCTGTAATCTTTCATATTCCTTTCTACCATTACTCATTCTGTTTCACTCTTATACTTGTCGAAACTCTATTGATTCTCTTCACTCATTTTCTTGTCTACGTTTGTGTGCTCTTTGGAACGTGGCAACTCGAACTGCTGCACTTCGGTGCCAAGTTCTATGTTGAATCCAGCCAGCCAGTTGCATTTTTGTTCATGTCCTTTTGAAAGTTCCACATTGTTTCGTCATTAAGTCAGCTTATCTTAAAATTCTTTGTATTCTTTCATGCGTTTAGTAGGCTTTCATTTAAGTCTAGGTTCTTAAAGGCTGAGCAGCTTCGCAATAGTCGCCATCTATTTTGTCCACTTCGTTATATTGTATACAGTTATTTCACCGATATTATATGACTTATACAGTTGCTGCTGTTTTGTTGTTTGTTTCAGACCTGTCGACGAGATGATATATTGGTGGGTGCAGTCAGTGTTGTTCAAGACTCTGGCCTTGTGATCACTATTTTGGCCTATGATCAAGGACCACGGCGTGATTTTGAGGGACTTAAGATAACGGTGAGTGATATGTCATCTGATATATTGTGACTAATTTTCCTTTTTACAGGGCTTCTGTCCACTCAGACAACTTCCACGATACAACGCACATGGAAATGCGTTGGATGCCTTTCAGATTGGGGATAAAGTTCGTGGTAAGCAGCAGTGCTTTTATCTGACACATGTTATTGTTATTCTATGTATATTATTCCCTTGCGTTCCGAGTGAAAGAGTAGGCTTAAAACGAGGCACATCTCTGTCTCACTCTGTTCTCTACATTCCTTATTAACTAGCTCCACAACTGCCCATAGGCTTTCATTTCCTCTTCAACATACAATGTGCATATCACATTCGGATGCCTAACTGGTCGGTTCTCAATCGGGTTACACTTGAGAGTCTGAGTGGTGCGTGTCACTCAACAATCTCAGTGTGTCTCTAATCCATCCACCTCCATTTCCTTCTACCTATCGAATGAGCTATAGGTTATTGGTTGGTTTGTTGCCAGGGTTCCTTGGTTGCTTGCTTATCCTTTCTGGTCGGCCATCATACGATCTTAAGTATGGAGCAGACTGTTGGAAATACTTTTGGTGACACGTGTGCCAAGTCTCTGAACCATATCGAAATGCTCACTGACTTGACAGTGTTGAATCTGCTATTTTGTTGATGGTGAACCAAGATGCATCAGATGGACATCAAACTCAGATATAAGCCACCCGTATAAAACAATTGTCATAGCTCTAAACAGCGAGATTAAGAATCAAATAATACATCTGATTAAAAGGCAACAGTTTTTCAACAATTTGTAGTCATTTCTGGGTCATATCACCAGATGACACGTATCACACTTCACGAAATCTAAACCTTTGATACGATGGTTAACGTATAAGTCTCAAGGTGAACTGTATATTGCGTTGTTGAAGTCATCAGAGCTTAATTAATCTGTACTATAGATGAGTATTGTGACACTTTGTTCGTCTGTTAATTGAAGAAAGTCGTCCTACCTTACTTATATTTCGTGTTTGTTGACACTCGTTAGAGATCGAGGCGTATCTGCGACCTCAGTTTTTCGAAGTTACATCACCCACTTCTACAGTCAAAGGGACATCACTACAAGGCTGTTTACTCTTTGATCGTATGAAGAGTACTGCAAAAGGTCTGCCTTAAATTTATGAGTGAATAGCCAAGGCCTCCGCTATCTTTAGAAGTTTGGAATGAAGAAAACTTTGCAAGTTAACATGAGTTGTCACGGTTGATAGAGTGATACAAGTCGATCAAGTATAGAGCTTTGCATAACCTGCCTTTACCCACACAGGTGTATGCTGTCGTATTCGTGTGCGGAAAGCATTCTTTGGCTACAGCCAATGTAGTTTACGGCACAAGACCAGTCGATTTAATAGAGATGCACATAGAGGCGGCCATACGAGGAAGTGTATCTTTTATACAAACAACAGAACTTCCGATTAGTGAAGGTCAGCTGGAATTCTACCTCATTGACTTTTAGATAGGCAGCTTAGATTATTCAAGACAGTCAACAGGAAAACCTTGACTGACCTGAGTTCTGTGCCTGTGAGTACTCGTTAAAGATGGAGGCACATCTGAAACGTTGTGAAGCGACTGGTGTGCTCCTTCCGAGATTCGAAACAGCGCCACTCAGTCCTACATTCAGTGATACGTTGCCACGAAGCTATTAGCGACTGACCTCCTTCTGTAGGGATTATGGTGAATATGCAACTGGCAATATCAAAAATCACTGGTGTTTTCAACAAAATTTCTGTATTTTCATATATTAACTTTTACGAAGCTTCATACTTATTCTCTTTCAAATTTATTTTGTTTTTCAGCATTCATTCTTGATATTCATGGTGGTGGACGCTTAATTCTGAGCATGAATTCAAAGATGCTTAATCGAGAGATTTACGGGGATCTCAAATTGGTGAGTAGTTACTAATTTCGATGAAAGGGAAGAACTTATTCTTTCTTTTGAATATAGATCGAAAACAACTTGGTAATAAGATGGTACCATCATCGTGTATTTATTTCATCGGTTTCTCATCAGCTCTGCATTCATCGTAAGAAGATTTTATTGAGTCTCAGGTTTGCCCATGGATTGATATTAGTTAGAGAAGCATTAAAATCTACCAGGGAGTACTGAACTCCGGCTGTTTCGTTCCCGTTCTTTGGGACTCTTCATTAGTAAGCACTCACTGGGGTTTTAACCACCCAGGAACGTTTGGTCACAAGGCGGGTTCGTTGACGACCATTCAGGCACTGAGATGAAGAAATCCAGTCGCCCATGAATTTCAACTTCTCCCAATTTGTGATTTTAACGCGACTGCCATCAGCCAGTGTCATCGGCGAGTATTTGTTCTCTCGCGCGACCGGAAAGACCCTACTGGTCACAATTTCCCGCTAGGCAATGTCGCTCTTTTGCAGTAAGTCATTCATTGGCGATAATCATATGCATTTTCAAGAGTTATCTTCTCGTGGGGATTTGTCTTGATTCAAGTTTCATCATGGATTGGTATCAGTTAGAGAAAGCCATTGAAAACTTGCAACAGAGAGTACTGAGCATCCGCTTTGTCCCCCTAGTTTCAGACTCTTCAGCAGTTCTCATCGATCATCCCATCGAGAATTATTTGAATTCCGCCGCATGTTGCTGAATAGTGGTCAAAGAGCGTCTGGTTGGAGTGAACTGCTGCACAGTGTGCACACGTCGTCTGAACAATAACCAGATATTATGTCTGCGCTAGAGATGAAGTAGGCTGACAAATGTCACCCAAGACCTTTGTATCCGTGCTGAGATTTAATCAGCCGATTGGGTCTGAAATGAAGTGGCAGTCAACACACTCTACCACTTGACCCCTGCCTATCTTTAAGCTAACTGGAAGTTGATGTAGTTCAGTCTCCTGTAGCATCATCATCTTACATTTGACAGGAGAAAATCGCAGGCCGATAAACGCCAGACGTTGGTGCATTCTTCCTCCCACTCATTTTTGTATGGGACATCTACGACGCCAAGTGAAAATGGCGGTGACTAATCGCACGACTTATTTGACGATAGCACACAGGCTATGATAAATGGAGATGACCGCATGACAGAGAAAGGCCTAAGCCTTTGAGTATTTCAAAATAAAATCCAGTCTGCTATTATATAACCAGTTCTTTTCTTTCATTTTTTTACAGGGTATCATAACTGACGACGATTTGCCATTGTATTACAAGTGAGTACACATTACAATGGAAAAATTGATTTTATGTTTTTAAACACACCATGTTCAAACATGATTTGCCTTATGCTATTAATTGGGAGTACAAACTATGAAAGCATCAATTCGAGTTGCTACATTCCATATGATACACGCACACAATTGTGGTAGAGAAAAGAGAGAAAAAAAATGAGATTCTGGAAAAACTCTAATGGGCAGAAATGTACCAAAAAAGTGGGAGAATAGCAAAATGGAAAAACATTGAGGACTGAATAGATATTGGAAGAGTGAAGGCTCCATTGACAACGACTGTTTTGAACTATATCACCCAATAGTCTTCAGTTATTAAGTGCTCCAACATAAAGTTGTCAGCGTGGTGTTTTAAGAGACTGTCAAATCGTGCTTATCCATCTGTAGTCTCAATAAGTTGTCTCAGAGTTAAAAGAATTTGAGGGACCTACCTGTGGACACCAATAAGTTATTACTATTCCTTTGTCTCACACCTCTGTTTACTGTCTATATTATGCATTTCTTCTCTTACTTTGTGTGCTACATGGAGTGTGGCGACTTGAACTGCCGCACATATGTGCAAAGTTCTATGTTGAAAACCGACCGACCGACCGACACCAATAAGTAGTTTGTATATGAGACTTTGGATGCTTACAGCCTTGACGTCCAGACCAAGGCAAGTGTTTATCTTAAGAGGCCATACTCCTCTCCACCTCCTCCCGAGCCTTTGACTTAAAACTGAATCCACAAGCCAGTGGAACAGTGTTAGGAGCTGCTACTGATTTATCTTGGTTTCCGGTGACCAAAACAGGTTCATACGTGCTATTCTATCCTTTAGGGGGGATTCTGAAACCGACGTACACACCATAAGTGCGTTGGGATAAGGATTTTCCAGTTTCTCTCAGTAGTAGACCTTCATGTCTTCCTCCAGTTTGATTGTGTAAGCATCAGACTTTTTCGCATTTACTCGGTGAGTTTTTATAATTGGTTGTGCGAGCCTATAATGACTTCTAGTCCTACCAGATGGACTTAGACCATTTCTCACATGAGTTGTTCGGGTGTCTGTCAATTATAACAGTAAAGAACAGACTGAGTCGCTTACAACTTACCCTACTGACAACCTTTAATACCCTTCTCAATTTTATCTTATAGTCGTTTTCCGTTAACCTAGAAACGACTAAGGGTGGATGAACGATAAAGAATAATAGGTAAGATGTAATAGTTAACAAATAGAGATTGAGTGATTCTAGATTGTATTAACTGATTGATATAGGTGATTGGACTGAGCATCTTCTTAGAAGCAGACGACAGGATATGAGGTGACCGACCGATGTAGATGAGCGGATAGAACTATGTTGTCATTATAATTAGTCATGATTAATTCATCCTAGTCTTGTTATTATTCATGTTTTGATGTATTTTTCTCATTGCTAGAAAACTTCAAAATTTAGATGGAAAATCCTATGAGGCATATCTTGAATCAACTCCACAATTTCGTAATCCAGATGGTCTACAAGTCCTGTGCGCTCGTATGGGGATACCGAGGTCTTCAGCTTGTAGTCTATTATTTTGTATTAATAAGTAAGTAATAGGCTGAAATTATAATTTTTTCTTTTTTGTATTTAAGGCGTGATGAGTAATTATTTTCACTTAAGTTAACTTGTGTCTCTGATTTCAACATCGAGTGGGGCAAGTGTGAATTCCAGTGAGGGTGGGACATGAGTTCTCGCTTCCTCCTTCTTGTGGAGTTGAGTACATTAGCCGTATCATGCGTCCACTTCTAAAACGTTATCAGGAAAACCTTCCGGCTCTCCTAGAGACAGCAAATACATGTGTGTTTGTTCCTTGCTTGATAAAAGGAAATATCTAGTGGATCCAGGAGACTTAGCGTCATTTGATGAAACGTTTTTCAAATTCATATATATGTATATATAAGGTTCGATCAAACCTCTCTCAAAATGTGAGTATAAGGTCAAGACATCTCACTGCCACCTTGTGACCCAGAACTCAGTGTGTGCTGAAGTCAGCTTCCCTAGTAAAAGTGCCCTAGGAAGAGTCAAAAACAGCAGCTTAGCAGTTCAGATTTTCGCCCTCTATAGAGCACACAAAGGTGTAGAAAAAATTTCATACGAGACTATAATGAACAGAAGCGTGTGTGTGAGCGGAGGATTTGATGGATCTGAAGGATTACGCAAAGAGTGAAAGCATTTTGTTCCATTTAGAGAACAATTTCGATCTACATCACTCACCTACCGTTTTAGACCAATGATGGTTCTTAGCGTCTCGATAACCTTAACCAATCAGTCCGCATGAACTAGTAGCGTAGTAGGAAATGGAAGACAAAAAAGCTAGCGGTCTTTGTGTGTGTGCATTCTATATCCCATGTTAGGTGGTTATAATAGGCTGAAAAGTAATATTTCTTCCCCACATTTCTGCTTATCATCGTTCTTCTGAATCCCTTTTCCCTTTATATCTTTTCCCTACCCTTGTGTGCTATATGGCAGTAGTGTGACTATCACTGTGCTTCTTTGCATTGCAGTTCCATGTTAAAACCCTGTTAAATAATCAGGTAGGGAAGCAGGTAGGAAGGCAATCCTGACAGAATAGTGTAGAAAAATGTCCCTTTTGTCATCTGACCAATGAATATTGTAAAATGCAATATATCTAATAATTTTGTTTTCCTGCCAACCCACCAACTTTTTAGAATTCGTTTACCGAAATCTGAAATGGCTTGCGAACTTAGAAGAACACAACTTTTAAATTTCTCAATGAAGCAGTGAGTACTATTATTACAGTTACTGTTTATTATTATTACTATTATTATTATTATTATTTCAAGCGTGATCACAAATTGATATCAGTTTGAGAACCGTTCAAAACCATCTGGGGATCACTGGAGCAGATGTTTTTTCCCAGTTTGGAAGTCTGTAGCAGTGCGCACTCACGACCCCCACCCACCGCTACAGGGATCGAACCTTGTTACTAAACCAGTGTTGTTGGCCGTCAGATTCTAGCCCAAATGGCCGATTGATTGATCAACGTGGTTGGCTTCGTAACCTGAAGGTCCATAGTGATTTGATCCTTGGCAGGGGGTTGGGGTGTGTGTGTGTCATGGATGTGCTTGATGTGAATGGTGTCAAACTAGAGCGAAACGTCTGAAACCTAAGCTGTGATGAAATTAATCCAAATCCCTGCCAAAAATCCCTGATGGGAATTTTATTGAATTTGGCGAATAGTGACCAGCAGTTGGGATCCAGGACTGTTTCGGACTCGTTAGCTGGACGTGACATATTTATTCAGTTGAATTCAAATTTACTATGGGCACCAAGAGATGTACCATACAAAAGTAGAAATAGGGATACGTGTGAAGGGCAGCATCAAGAAAGAGCAAGTAGGTATGAAGAACATTCAGAGGAGGACAGTTCACCACTGCTACCACTTCGATGTTAATTTCAGAAAAGGGGAGAAAAAGCGAAAGGAGGGAATAGCGCATTTGCTCGCAGCTGATTCAGATTGTCTATTGGACGCCACCATCAAAGAAGTCATGATGCGCCAACAATTTTCGTGATAGTGTCCGCAAAACTGTTGTTGATCCTTGAAAATTCGAGCCAGGTAGCATAAGTTTCATTGTAAGCCCCGCACCCATATCCTCATTAGGTCTCCAAGATGAACAGTCTCTGGGAAATTGAATAATGTAGGTAAGGCGAATCGGGAAATTAGATTGGTAGTTTCCGGAGAGGTAGTTTTGGAGGTCGAGTCAGATGTGTGTCGGTCCAGTCGGAGTCTGGTGTCTTCATGAGCGGTTTCAGCTGTTGGTGTCTTATTACTCCCAACTTGCATTGGCTTGCTCTGCCTATGGTCTATGTTGAAACCAGACACACTTGCTCTGCAAATTTCATCAAGAGGCTGTACTTCCATGGTCTGGTATACACAACGACTAACTGTGAGCTAGCACAGAACAAGGGGAATCTGACTGTCTAATCAGAACAAAGCGTTGTCGTGTGTCCACTGACCGACCAGTGATTTCTGCCCAGTTCTCCGAATGTTTACTATTGTAATATCATTGTGACTTTGTCAACTCTTCTTTTATTCTTTTATCTGTTTACTTGTGTTTTTAGTGTTGCTCAGGGTGTAAAGTATTTCAAAGACAGTCGGAATACTGAAGCTTTACAATGTTACAATTTCGCTATCGAAGTTGAACCTACCAACCCAGATGCATATGTGGCTCGTGGTGCTCTGTAAGTGTTGTATCTCTTTAACTTGTGAACTTTGCATCTAGTTTGATAAATGGATACCATTTCCAAGGTTTCATTCTCGTTTTTCATAAGCATAAATGTATCATCCATATATCGACAGTGAAATTCCAACTCATTAATTACTCTTGTGATTGTGGTTACTGAGTTCATGTTGTTGCTATTGTTGTGGCATGTGGTATGGGAAAAAGAGTTTAATGAATAAATATCTGAACTTATGGAGCTTAAATCTATCAGAGTAATTAATAATAAGTTGTATTATTTATGAGTCAACAGTCATGGTTGTCACTCAACTTGTTTCACTCGATCACCTCCTAGAAAAAAGCCTTTGTGTGTTTTCAGAAGTTCACTTTTTCTTTAGGTACCTGCAACAGAAGTAGGAGTATTAGTGTTGCGTGACCACAGAGCCCACATGCTGGAGGCCGACCACACATGACTGGGTTTTAGACTTGTTTCTGTATTAGTAACTTTCCGCTGGCTACGGACCACCCGTAGCGAGGATGTACAATTTTTAGGGTAGACGTTTTTTAATCCCTAGTGCCTCTTCAGAGGGAAGAGCAGCATGCCAGTCGTTTGAGGGAAACATCTTACTGCTGTTACATCTCTGTTCTTCAGCAGTACGATGATGCCTGCACACCCCAAGCATAATGTACACATCTTACGCTATGCCGTACCTGCTCTTAGTCTAGTCCGTCTCCTAACAACCTTTGTCGCAAGGTAGAACGTGTAGGTACATTAATTCCAGTCTGTATAGCTTGTTAGATCATTGCGGTATTTAAGCTTGACCACAACTCACGTCAATAGTAGCAGCTATCGGTCGGGTTCCTCACCTTCAAGTAATTGTGTTAAGAAACTCTGATTCAGATTTGTTTTGAGTAGGTTTAGTCCAGTCATTTGAGAAGCTATCATCTTACTCAGTTGACATTTGCAAATGTGTGTGTGTGTCTTAACTGCATCTTGTCAGTTTTAATGCATGTCACTGTGTATTTTATTAATGGTGTTAACTATTAGGCTTTCATAGTATACTCACTAACCTTTTTCAACACCTCTTTCTTCCTTTTACTACTAAAGTTATGCATCAATCGGGACATACACAAAAGCTGTTGAAGATTTAGAGAAAAGTCTTGAAATTCAACCGAATCATGTCAATGCGAAAAATTATCTTGGACAAACACTGGTTGCATATGCTGGCGAGTAAGTACAACATCATATATATATATATATATATATATAAATGTATTCATTTTATTCCACTAGTTATTGGGATACTGTAATCTCCCTGGCAGGTAAATTGACCACTCATGAGAGGGAAGGCGTTTTCCTCAATAAATATAAAAGGGGAACGAAGTTGGGGGTGGTTCGGGAATGTGAATGTGAACACATCTGGTGCTTAACACAAACTAACTGACTGGTTGGTGGAGGATGTGCAGGTCTACCTACACCAACCTACTTAGGGGAGCTGGAAAACTCGCATTGATTGTAAACCTAACTAATGGTGTGTATATGTTCATCATGTCCTCCAGAATCTGAAAAGATCGAGAATGACGTATAGACTTGTTTTGGTTGCTTTCCACCCACGTTCCAGGTTTACTGCATGCTAAGCGAGGTTTTATGAATGCGTTGATGGATGGATGGATGGATGAGGATGGCACCCGAATCTTCAGAGTGGTTAACGAGCCTTCGACCACTGACACTAACTAACATTGTCCACATTATTTAACCGCTCTTGTGAGGGGGACGGGTTGGTGTGGTTCAGCTTCTTCAGTTAGGAACATATCTTGGATTCAACAAGTTGATGGTCGTCGGTGGGTGCAAGGGTGACATGGAGTGGAGTAGGGACTGTAAGGCCGGTGGAAATGAAAGCTTATTGGCTTCGTGGATCTAACTAAACCTTACTGCACGGGACAGACTGAAATGGAGACGTGTCACGGTTGAAGACTTATCTTCTACTTAGAACCCAAGTGAATAATAATAAAATGTTTACTACACCACATTTCGAACACAACATATTACCACTTATAGTGTCGTAGAATTAAATGCTTCACTTATCTAGCTCTAGTTATGATCATGAAAATAACTGTTGAAGAGTTGTTTCTTCTTTGATTGGACACTAACTAGTGTAATGTGTGTAGTTTTTTGTTTATTGCAGACTGAATTCTACCAGTCAAGTTTGCAATGTGGCTATCATCGTGGTACACTGTGTATTGTCGATATTAGATAGTTGGAGGCGATTGGCGAGAAGCCTAGGGCCTAGATTTCATGCTGTTTGGCGGACGATAGAATTCAGTATGCACCAAACAAGGGACTAGACACACTACACTAGTGTTCAGTCAAAGTATCCAATAAAGTCCTACAGGAGGTCAGTCGCGAGCCCGAATAGCTCAGTGGTAATGTCTATGACTGCAGCACTGGGTGACGCGGATACGGATCTCAGGCGGCATATAAATTCCTTCCAGGTTGCCGAGATGCCTTGCTTACTGGTGTTTGCCAACGAGCACATAACCGAGATAAAGACGGACTTCCTGCCGATTGCTTTCAATCCATCTAGTATCTAGTTTCTTCCATTTTAACGCTTTCCTGTATCCTAAAGGCTGGCAGCGCAGTGGGCCAACAAATTTCTCAATAAAATTACTATCGATCTCTTAACAAATGCTTCACCAGAATGTGTTAGTATTGATCTGTTACGTCATATGTAAAAGTCCTAAGTTCAATCCTGCGTGGGTGGGGTCATGACTGCGTATTTCTGAAATGTGTGTCCCAAACAAGGACGAAACAGCTGTCGAGTACATCATCAAACCTGAAACTAATTGAATTTGAAATAATAGAGAAGATTTGTAGCTCAGGTGGATGGTTTGCAATTAATAGTGTTCTCTGAGCTGGTTGGTTTAACTGCGGAGCTTTCGTCGTCCTTCTGGACAATATCTTCAGCGCAATATTTAGCATAAAGTGAAATGATTTAAATTTCTTAATGAGTGATATAATTGAATTTCTCTGCTCACTCGTGAGTGACTGATAACAGGGTGAAGTTGCTTGGATCTCTAGTGGGGGAAGTCGTGACCAGTTTGGCTTGGAGGGAGTTACTCGCAGACGACTATGTGGCAATATATTCATATACATACATATTGCGAATTAAAAGAACTAAGAAGTGATGGTCTAGTCAGTGCATTCCGCCCGAGTGGCTAAAGGATCTGTGAACTAATCTTGTAAACTGGAAGTCCTGCGTGGTGCGATCTCTGGCCGATTCACAGAGGCGCTCTGTTGAAGTGTCTTGAACAAGGATTGAACAACTGTCCAGTGCTCCTCGTTGGAGGGGGGGGGTTCAATGGTTCTCTAACTCGTGAATCATTTTGCGGTCAAACCTGAAAACAGTCGAATCCTCTACTCCTCCCCTCCTTATTCAACCAAACAACATTTGTGAAGACTTCCAAACAGGGATTTTTCTTCTCTCGCCTTTTTGTCCCACAGGATCGGACGTAAAGAGATCGGTAAAGCAGAACAACTGTTAAATCGAGCGCTCAAATTAGATCCTGATAATGTTGAAGCCAGAGACGCCCTGAAGGAACTACAGACAAATGGATCTTTATCATCGAATAAAGATGCTGGTTTGGTATGTGCGAATGTTTATTTTCTTGTTATTGTTATTTAAATTCTATTGTCTCCATTTTTAGTTTAGTGTCATCATAGTTGTACTAATTGAGGCAAGATGTGTGTAACGCTCAATTGCCTTCAGCGACTTTGGTGGGGATTGATTTGTTGCCACCAGTTAATATAGTCTTGCCGCTCAACAAATATGCCGAAGAAAAATAGGGATAGGTGGATCAGACACACTGAAGAGACCGCACGCCAGGCCATCACTCCAGTGGGTAATGACGAATTAGGCATCAGTCCGAGACTACCGGTGACATGGAGGAGATCGTGTCAGGTGGTGGAGAAGATGAGAGTGTAGATTGGGGAAATGTCATTAGGTTTCCGTTGACGACGAAGTAATTTGGAAACTATTCCAGCACTATGGCGTGCCTCAAATCTCTGTGAACCTCAATCAACTAGAACAATATATGACAATACCACGTGTCTGGTGATCCACAACGCAAAAGTTAACGCAACATTTGACGTGAAGACAAGCGAAAGACAACACTGCTAACTATCACTCAGGATGATATTCCTGGTCGTGGTGGACTGGGGAGCGAAACGACTGAAGTAAATTGGACCAATAAGAAGACTCCAGCAGGTCTGGATTTCATGGATGATTTATGTCTTATGCCATACAAACTCGAAGATCAACAGTTTGATAGAAGAGGCAGGCAACGAAGAAAAGAGTTCAAGGAGAACGTTATGAAGATAACCAACCGATAACAGTTACAAGCACAAATCACTGTCATCAGTGGGCGAAATTTGAAAGAGGTCACATCCTTCACTTATCTCACTAGGCAGCATTGCTTTAACTACAGGTGGTGGTACGGATGAGGATGTCAAGACCAACCAGAATTGGAAAGGCAATACAGACCTTTATCATTGACATCAATTTGGAAATCTTCCGTACTCCTCAGCATAAGAAACTAAGTTTGGATCTCCAACACATGTCAAGTCAGTCAGCTCCTCTGTATGGGTGTGCCTCACGGAAAACACTTCCACCAGTTAGCAAAGATTTTCACCGACAACTGCCTTCGCTGTCTCCATAGTGAAGGTCAGAATGAATAAACAACAAGATGATCTGGGAACAAACCAATCAAGGAACTATTGCTGAATAAGTATTTGGAATAAAATGGATTTGGACTGGACACACGCTGAAAAGACCATCATGGGAAATCGCGTGGCAGGTCTCCGGTTGGGATAAACATCTTGACAGAGAAGAAAAGTACGGATCTCATGTAACCGGTCATTTCATTGTTATTCTCAGTCTTTAAGGTTTATGCGCGTCCCTATGTATACTATTGGATGATTAGTATGGATAGTTGAGTAGCACCACTCACCAGTAGATCTTGCTCGCTAGCAAGATAGGTGGAATATTGACATATTACTAGACAGCCGTTTATCTCGTTTTCGGGAATTGAGCTCCCTTGCCAGTGGTGTACTCAGTTTGACTCAGTTCAGAGTGGACGAGAGAGACAGAGGGAGCCGAATGAGCGTAAACCACTCGAATTCTGGCTGGTAATATGTTGAATCAATCTGTCAGTCTGTCTTTCATTATATAAATCATGCTTTCAGTTTCTTCTTTGTTCTCCTTTTTACATCGTTAAAGAGAACCTGGTCACGCAGTCCATCTCCACGTGGTAGTGCTGTTGGTTCATCACGAAATGTAGCCGGTGGTACTAGACGTGATCCATCACCTCTTTCTCCAGTTGGTAGTATTACACGTCCAAGTGGAGGAGGCGGCGGTGGTGGTTATGCAACTCACATGGAACGTAGTCGGGCTGCATTGGAACAACTTGTTGAAAAAGATCGAAGTCGACGAGCTGCTGCCTCTACCAAAGAAGGCGGTGGTCGTCAAAATCATACTTTATCAGATCATAGTCCTCCAGGATTCTATTCTCCAAGTAAGTTACAGCAATGTTGTGTCCTTTTATCATTTAAGGTGTTGATTTTATTGATTTGTGATCAGAGATTAGATCGCGGACTGGTGAATCAGTTAGGAAGAAGAATCTTGCATCATCACCTCTAGTAGTCTTTGGTTCGGTCCATTACTTAGGTGTGAGGGTTGTGGGTGCGTAATCCAGCTGAAGGGAATCCTGCACCGAGGCGAAACTTTTATATTTGATATAGTTTATTTGGTTGAATAATAAATCGTGCGAATTGCAAAGCCAAAACGATCACGGATCGAAAGAGAGGGAATGTGTGTTCACGAGCACACTAACCAGTACATTATAATATCAATAGTGTGAAAAAAAAGATAGAATCGATCCGATGTCATTTAGTAGGCATTCTTTGGAAAAGGTGCTCGCTGGTGACTAGCTACAGAGTGAAATTGCCTGGATATTTAGTAAAAAAAAGTCGTAACCAGTAGGGATCCATCAGGTCAGTTTCGAACTAAGATGAAAGAGCTGTCCCTGCTGGTTTTCAATGGTTGTCTAAGTGACATCAATCCGTATCTTCTGTTAATCAGTCCTTTTATGGATATATTGTGTCCAGTGTAGTCTCTAGCAGACTCAAGGGTCGCAACTTTGAAGGAATTTTCGGGAAGATTCATAACTATCCAGTTAGCCATTGTTGGTTTCCAACGGTTCTCTGACTGCTGCATCAGTTCGTCATCTAATTTTAATTTCTTAAAATTGTTATGCTTGTATTTTAACCTTTGTCTTAAATTCTTAATTGTTTTAGATCGTTCTCATGACCATCGACGAAGGGGTGGAGGTGATTATTCACGTGATGATGTAAGCAGCAATATCTGTTCACAAATTTTCTTCCTCTGTAAAACCCAGTCCTCTTTCATGATCTTGTTATTATGTATTGCACGTGGAAGACTAAATTTCTAAAGTCCGTTTTTTATAATCTGATGTAAGAATTATATTCGGTACTCTGGACAGAAGGTCTTACTCATCGATCTTGTTGAATAAACCTGTAATCTTCAACCTTAATGGGAAAGATTGAGGTGCATACAACAAGTGCTGAAGTTTAACGAAAGACTAAATGAGAGTTCAATTTCCCCTTTGGTTCCGAGTGGAACATAGGGTTTCAACCGAAGCACATTTCCACTCCAGCATAGGTTCTCTGCAGCTTCTTTTGGTTGTCTGGCTTTAAGATTTTCCATAAGCTTTCATCTCCTCCTCCTCCTGACGCAATCTCCACTATCTCACTTATGAGGCGCTGCCCAACTCACGCCTTGCTATTTCGATTTGACTTGAGGGCTTGGCACGTGATAACACCCAATGGTCTCTTCAGGATGTATCCGATCCATCTCCATTTCCTCCGGCATATTTATTAAAGAATTGGTTCATGGTCGGTTCACAGCCTAGCAGGGTTGATAATTGTCGTCAGTCCTTTCTCACCGACCATCTGATCTGCAATATTCAGACAGAGAAAGTCTCTGAAGCATATGGTGAAGCACTGGCTGATATGATATTTGTGTTCAAAAATTTGAATATACTTATTTATCTCCGGCACAACTAGGCTGTTTTGTTGGACTTCATAAAACAGGTGGACTAATGCAGGTGGTTAGACTATGGGACGTATGTGTTACGCAGATGACGAACATCTTTTGTTTATTGAAAGAGTCAGTAGGGGTTTCACGGCAAAGCGGAACGTCTTACTAAGTGATATATAGAAAAACAGCTTAAATGGTTCGTAGCAATCGATATCCACCTGATTTTACCTCTACAATTCGAACCTGTGTCACCCATTGCTGCAAGAAGAGACCGCGTCTTTGAGCTATCCTGACTTAATCAATGCTATAACTCTACTAGTCTTTTGGTGTGCTGGTAGTACAGACTGAATTCTGTCACAGTCAATGTTTGTTGCAATGTTTTCTACCAGGATAGATGGTGACTTACCATCGCGATACACTCTGAGTTGGTTTAAGATGGTTGTAGGCAGTCCGCGTTACCTAGGGTCTCGACATTGTTGGCAGTCATTGTCAGAAAAGTGTCACAGTGGGAATCACTGAATGATTTAACAGGTATTGCACTTGTTATCTTGAGAGTTGAAAAAATATAGAGACATTTCAATTGATTTGGTTATGGTACTGAATGAGTCGAATTATGCTTTGTTTGGCCTACTAATACAATGTACACGAATCTTAATACATCCTACTTCAGCCTACCTTATAGTGGTGGTATCACAGTCAACTGTTGCACGATATGGTTGACTATGTGACCCACTTGGTACAGAATCATTGCATGCTGGCTAATTAACTAAATGCAGGTCAAATCTCTAATCAAGGCGAAATCTGTCTAGATCACAGGATAGATAATTCAATGAGTGCCATTTTTATTATCTCTCAAAGTTCATCAATGGTAGATGATACGTATAGTTCAACGAATTTGTCCACCTGCAATTATAAGCCGCATGCATGTCATTTATTTGTATTCCAAGTGGAACATAGACAGGCTGCCTTCAACCTTTTATAAGCTTTGAAAGTCTCAATAAAACTTGTGTTTAATTTTATACGGTGAACGTTGGCTAGCCCCTACGCACGTCCAACCGTGTTTCCCTCTTCTTTTTTTGGGGGGAGGGGGAAGAATGCCTACTCCCAACCTAAGATGGTGCGTGGTTTAGAAGCTCGTCAGCAGCCGGGAATTAAACCTGGATACAGGCGTTTGCCTATACTGTACCACTGTTGGGATCACCACCCACTTACACATCTGAACATGTGGGCGAAGAAATCAAGTCGATTTCATTCCTCTTTCTATTTTATATTTTCTGGTTAATATGTATGCAAAAGTGGAGCGATCTGTGATAATAAGAATGATGAATAGTGATCAACGAAAAAAAATTTTCAGATAGACTTTGTATGTAGATGAAAGCTGAGAAAAATAAATAGTCCGATTTAAGTAATGCTTGATTGTAGGGAAAGTGAATAAACTGCGTTATAATGAAAGTGTGATAATAAGATTACGGGATGATAAGAGAGTGGGGTGGTGGTGGTGGTGGTGACACAATCAGTGGGTTAGGTTTTAATAGGTCAAGAAAGGGGTAATGTCTACGAAATTTAGGCTTACTAGTGTGAATGGCTATCGCCTCAGCTATGCACATTAGTCTAATACGAGGTCCATTGGAAAGATTCGGTGGGATGCAATGAATTGCCCTAAATGCTCTTGAATAAAATCTCACTTGACAAGTCATCATAAAATTGTAGCTTGATAAATAGAGGTTTTTATCCCTCCCTCGGCTTATTAAAACCTAACCTAACTGATGACGTGTTACCATCACCCATTATTTATATTTTTCAACACCGCTCTCCTGTTATCCCTTGATCTTACTATCACACCTCCATTAAAACATTATTTATTTAATTATTTTCCTTACAATCTACCATCAAGTAATCTGTGCATTTGTTTTTCCTAGCCTTTATTGACTACTATGTCTGCCTGAATACATTCGTTTGTTCAATCATTCTGTTTTTCATCGCTCTTGTTATCACAGACCGCTCCACTTTTTCCTTCTTGTTACTGATATAATCATTACTACCATTATGACTAATTGCACAATTTGTATTCACAATCTTACTATCCTATTGTGACAAAACATTGTGATTGGTTTATATACTTTAATATTAATTTGTAAAGTTGCGCTTAGGTATATTAGAGTTAAGCCTGTTGAGAACTAATTGAAGAAACACAATATTCTTCGCTTAAATTCATTGCTCTAAATATTACTATGGGAATATTTAATGTTTTGATAAATGCGTATGTACCTATTTCCATTTTTTGTGTGTTGTTGATTATATTTAGATGCGTATACACATTGTGTGTCATATAATGTGTGATATTATAATATTATATTATTATTATTGAGTCATAAGGATGCGATGGACTGACTGCTCAGCGTCTTTTTTCTATGTCTGCAGGTTATAAGCAATAACTATATGCCTATGTGTTGGAATATTTTTAAAACTGCAGCTGTTGTCGTAAAGCTCCAGTGTATGTAAACACCAAGATCATTCATTAGAAAAAGTGAGGTGTTAATTCCGTGTGATGCAAAGGCAATTGCTTGCATTCACACCTAAACACCGATGAATTGATTAATTGATTGATTGTGTAAGTGCATTTAAATAATACGAGTGCGTAATCAATTACAGGGTTCAAATTAAATGGCGACGGTGGTGGCTGTGAAAAATGTCCTGTGTCAGTCAGTGGTCAGTTGCATAAGATAAAAAGGATATTTAACAGCCACTATGAATCATCCCTTCATATACATTATTGTCTAATGGATGAAGAATCAAGACGGAGAGACTGATATCTGTTCCTCTCTCTATCTCTCTCTCTCTCTCTCTCTTTCTCTAACACACGCTCACACACATACACATCCAAAAAAGACAGAACAGGTTTCTTTTCAATTTTATTTTAGATTTCGCAATTATTATTTTAGCTGTTCCGGCAATAATAGATATATACACATATATGTGTACATTTGACGAAATTGTCAACCTCATCATGATTGTTCGTTATGATGTGTGAAAATCTGAAGAAAGAAAGAAAGAAAGGCGAAAGGAACCGCTGTCTTTTGTCTGAAGAGAAGGGCAAACTGAAAAAGAAAAAAAACACACATCGGATTTGGAGTCAGGATCAGGATTCCAAGATATGGATACATTTGTGTATCTACGCAACAGTACAACTTCAGAGTGATGTTGTAGATATTCCCTCTTGTAATCAATTATTCTTATTTTAGATTATAAAATTTATCTATAAAGATGGAAGGAATTAGATAAGAGCAAATTAGTGATAAAAGACTATCCTGAGGAATAAATAAGCAAGCAAATGTATATATTATGTCATCGGATCATCCGGTTGCTGAGGTGAAAGAAGGCGAAGAAGAAAGAAGAAGATTGCTGTACGAATGATGAAAGTATACATGCCAGACTGCTCTCATGAACACTTGACTGTGTCAAGGAGGTGTCTACGCTCGCACGCATTTGTGTGTGTGTGTTAAAGGATGACGTGGATACAAACGTGTGCATTCTTCTAATATATGCAAGTTGACCTTTTTTTCATTAAAATCATAGAACCACGGAGGTTTATTGTTCGCATAAGTGTGTCTCAATGAGGAATGACTATTCCGTATCTATGTGTGTGTATATATGTGTATGTTATTGTTCAGATAAAATCTACCGGTGGAGGAGGAGAAAAGGGTGGTGATAAATCAGACAAATCAAACGTGGATCATCATCGTGGTGACTTGTCCAAAATTGTTATTACACGTGTCGAGGTAAGTGGTGTGTGTGTGCGCGTGTGGATGCGTCTGTATGAAATAGTTCCGTTTGTGTACTTTTTTCTCTTGTCCACGTTCTATCATCGACTTTTGATGTTTCGCAGTTGTGTGGTGAATTCATGATCTGAACAGCAATATATCCAGATTATGTATGTTCTCCATAAACGACCTGGTATAGCCGAGGGTGGTGGGTGGCAGATTGCGGTCTCCCTGTTTAAGTACTGTTATTTGTCCTATTCCCATCCCCCTAACCACAGAATTCCCTCCCCCCAGGTGATAGGTTGTGTATGTGCATGCGACCCCCCTCACAAAATGAAATTTGTTAAATGGCGAACATGAATGTTTGGCGCTTTTGCACAAACGGACTGGCAGTGTACATGCAGGTCTACTACCTTAGAGAGGAGGGGGGAGCTAAAAGAGGATTTTGAGCCATATCACCCACCATTTTCTTCCAGTCCTCCTTGGGTCTTCGAATCTCGAGGACTGCAACCAGTCAGGCAGTATACGCCTCCCTACGTCGCTGGCTAGGTGGTTGATACCAACTGTCGCATATTTCACGGAGTGATACCAGCCAAGTTTTGGTTTGACTATCACTAGTGCTTTGCCAACCTGATCCTATCTGTGTCAGCTAATATTGCCTATCGAGGAAGCCGACAGCTAGGCATGCGTGGCTCATGTCCTAGTCACCTAAGTCGATGCAGACAGCTTCACAACCTCAGTGCGATTATCTTTCCCTCCTTAACTAAATAACACTCGATGCCTAACTTCAAGATTCCTCGCACTGTTATAGGACGTAATACACGAGAAAGAACGCCGACACACCAGTTGGAAGGTGTTTCTACCTAGGACAGCTGGAAAACCCTGATTTTAAATCTATGGTGTACATGGTGTTCAGAATCCGAAAGAATAGAATGACGTATGAAGCTGTAGTGGTTGATTACGAGAAACAGTCATAAAGTTCCACCTACTCGAATTAAATGTTGTCTGGAACATGCAAATTCGAGTTTACTGTTATTGGTTGGTGAATAATAACACTATGGCATTTGTAATGATGGTTGGGGTGCCGGGATGTTTCGTTCAAGTTTCCTAGAAAATACGCCATCACTCACTGTCTCTGGGGGGGGGGTTACTACAGACAGGTACATCCAACTGACAGTCTGTCTGACGAGTCCTTTGCCTTCCAAGTGGAACATAGGTACGTAGATTGTGAAGCTTCAGCTTTGAAGTTACAGGAGCACCGGTGTTTTTTCATAGGGGTGAAAGGTTACGAACCCTATATGCACATTCAACATTTCTTCCTTATCCTGATTGGGCTTACTACTTCTACCGGCTAGGTGCAAGGCTAAGAAGGATTGCCGTCGACCGGAAAGTAGGACCTCGGACTACATGATCATGTCCTGTTGCTTTTCTCAGCTCTCTCTCTCACTCCCTGAACTGAAATCATGTTGATTGATTTTGTTTTTGAATAAAATCTCATTATGAGTTAAGTCTATTTATTTATCTGCTTACACATTTTCAGTCTGGACGTATTATACGCTGTAAAGATGACGATGAAATGGGTGAGGACTCGAACAGGTAATCCATCATAATTTTGCTTCACAAATCTTTATTTTCCTTTTATAAGTTTTCTTTTTGCGTGTGTGATATTTGTGTATGAAAATATAATGCTATCACATAACCATCTAAGTTGCCGAATAGTGAAACGTAGGGCTGCACCTGGGTTGATGGGGGGGGCGTACCCACCCTAGTTCTTTGCAGTCTCTTTCTTCTCAGCTGAATGGCTCGATGATAGTCCATAAGCCATGATTTCCTCCTCCTTTCAACACACAATCTCTCCCATGTGACTCCCGAAGTGATGCCCAACTTGTCTTTTCACATTCGGGCTCCACTCGAGTGATGGTGTGACTGGCGTGTGATTTCACTCAACGGTCTCCTCAGTGATATTTGTTCAGTTCATCTCCGTTTTCTTTCGCATATTTCTGGATGTGTTTGTTGCCACTACCCGACAGATCCACAAGAAGAACACGATCTATCATTTCCCTCCATTCTTCGTGATTAAGCCTGGAATCAGCAGGCCTCATTACTCATGATATCCCACTTGTCGGGCCGGGATCTTATTGATCATTTTCCATTCGTGGCTTACGTACTTTGGTTGGTCTAGGTAGGTGGTGGACATCTCACCACCGACCCTCCTCTGAGGTCCGGGCTCTGTTCAACCGAACCGGATAATAGGTGTCATCCGCTTACGGGTGCATACATAAAATAGTCATGTAGCTCACATCGTTAACACTGTGACTAAAGGAAAGGAAAAAAGTTAGTTGTAGAGTTTTATTTGCCTTCTAACTGTCCGATCTCTTTTCTCATTCATCTACATAAACTGTTAAATTTTTCTTTTTGATTGAAAGCAATATTCTTTTATCTCTTGTGTGTAGATCGGATAACTATTGGAAGCGCTCCTATGATGATGATCGGCATGGTAAGTTTGAGATTCATCACGCTTTATCTAAGAAATATATGATTCCTTTTCAAGTTTGAAATCTATCACTGATTGGTGGTGCATTAGTTAGGGAACCATTGAAGACCAGTGAGTCACTGTACAAGTGTGTCGTCAGTCGAGTTTGCGACTCTTCAGCAGTACCTATTCTTGACCGTCAGGTTACACGGTAAACCATTCTACCATCAGTATGGATTTCAGTGACTGAGCCATCAATTCTAATTTCTACCGATTCGCGATTGCCGAGTTATTACTTGTCGCACGAGACTTAGTGGTTAAAACCCCTCAGTCTCACTGTAACTCCAGGCAACTTTGTTCAGCTCGCCTTTGCGAACTGAAGTTACTGGGTTCTATCTCTATCTGTGGATTGTACACTGTTGAAGAGTCCCGAATTAGGACGGAACAACTGTCCAGTATCGTCTAGTTTTTTCCAAAGATTATCTGAATCCAATTCGTGATCAAACTTTGTAACCAAAGAAACCCATACAAATTAACACTCCAAGATTAATCGAGTTGTCATCAGTTGTTCGCTACAGAATGATTGGAGCTGCCTGAGTTGAAGTTTTAGTTGGTTCTGTTAACATCCTGAAAGGCCTATACAAAACACTGTTCCCAACCAACAGTGGAGTTTTTATAGGGTTGCCCAATCTCAGCATTTCTCTTTAACTTTGCCATCGATGACAGTCAACTCTCAAGGACGTGCGTGTTGGTAGTAGTGTAAATCTCCTTCCTTGAAAAAGAAATTCTGATCTCAAGTAGGCATAAGATGTCATCTAACCGTGTTGTAATAGCATACAGGTACTAGATCAATTAGGGATCAGTGTCTGTTGGTATGATGTCTGCTTTTTGGGTCATGTAAGTCCAAAGTACTGTACCTACAATCACCTTTTCAGGTCCAGGTGGTTGGTGAACCGTTTGAAGTTGTCGATGATTTCATGTATCTAGTAGTTAGTTGTATGAATGCTGGCAGAAGTGTAATGAACGAGACTTCTAACTGGAATAGTAAAGGCTATGGTGGCATACGCCAATTTACGCCAACTCTGGTGCAGCCACTTCATCAGTATGACTGTCAAAGACCGGATTTACAAAGCTTCGGTGCTCTCAGTGTCTTGCTTCACGCCTTCGGAACCTGGTCTCTTCGGATGGGCTGAGGATGTGCAGCGACTCTGCGTACGTGGTAATCTCTGTCTCCGTACAATTGCTTGAGATTTTTATCGTCACCTTAAGCCCAATGTCAAGGGAAACAAGTATTTGTCTTGATAGCCGATGAGTTGGTGCACCACTGCGTTCTTGTCCACACGACTTCTCACTAGAACTTCGGGCAATTTTATCCCTCTCCAGTCGATCGGTAGCGAACAAATAAGTGATTTCAAGCTACATCAGGAACTAACGCAGCAGTAAGAAAAGACCTGTGAGGAGTATTGTTTGGCGGCTGTTTTAACCTAGATAGCTGGACAGGGTGAGATGTGTCTATATACCTTAATATGACCTACATATAATAAAGCGATAGGATTGATAAGAATTTAATAAGCCGATACATTTTTAGGGTGTGGTTGCGTTCTAGTGAGTTTATGTGCTTTTAGACTCAGAGTTTAAAGGGATGCCAACTTTGACCAGTATGTAGTGGTGTTTACCACAGTTGGCAAATCAAACCTTCTGGGCGACAAATCTTGAAAATTTTAGCGTATATATCTTACGGACAACACAATGGTCATGGGTACAATTCTCCGTCGACGCATTCCTGAATCAAGCTCTGTTAGGTCTAATCCCTGGATAAGAAGGAAGTTGCTTGGACTTGAGGTTATCATTCCCTAGCCCTGTCAAAAAACCATCACCACCTCTCCTGGAACATCGGAAGAAGCCTGAAGTCTTACGCTCTATTTCGGCAAGCCAAAGAATGAAAACGAAGGTAGTAAGACGTCTGACTAAAATTGAAACACGATTCCTTGAAGTGTTCCAAGTTTAATTTCTTTTCATGCAAAATAAATCCTATTTCCTTAATCATAATATCAATCTTCATCTGTGTGATCCCTACTGGTTGAGGATGTCCTCAGGCTGTAGTACTGTGGAGAAGTCGTGACTGGTGGGAGATCATCCTCCATGTCGTTGTGAAAATGGATGATTATCGAAGGCACTTGTCAAGGAATGGTCAACGATCTTCGTTTGGTAACCCCCCTAAACACCCCTGGTTCTAACCCTCGTGGTGACGTAGGTGTACACTACTAAAGAGGAGGAGTTTCAAAGAAGGTTGTAACAGTGTTCCTTACTGGTTTTGAATATTTCTTTCTAACTAATGTTGTCGGGTGATATAACTGATTTTAAATGTTTATATTCAACTGAAATTTACTTATTTTTAGGTCCGGATAATGCAAAACGAAGTCGAGTTGAAGCAGAGCCAGAATATCGCAGTACTCGAAGAGTAAGTGGCCGAAAATTAACCCAACCGTTTTAGCTTATATTCTCTGTCTCTGCCTTACTCATCAGGACGTTTTCTAAAGCCCCTCTGTTATAAAAATCCAAATTATTCTATTTTGTTAAATACTAAAATGAAGCTTGTTTCATGCTTCACATTGTACTACTACGTCGGATGATAATTCAAAAGAGTTTCCATGTGCTGTCATCTCATACAATTGTGTCTGGAAGGCTATGCTTTACCAAATTCACGCCTTAAACTTGCCTGTCTAGCCAAAACAACCGGGTGACTAAGGAAGGTTTTCGTTAAAGTCGGCTCGGTCGAAAAACAACAACGCCACTGTGGTGCTAATTCCCTCCTTGGAATGGAAAAAGTTGACGGTCTCGTGTGGTTACGTTTTATACTTCTGGGTTATCCTATGACTGAATATGTCATCTCGCCACTGAGCTTCCTGATATGAAGTGCAATCCACATGTTAGTAAAGCGGCGCCGGGAGCAACCATGTTCCAATGTTTCCCATTGACTGAATCAGGTGTATACACACCATTCAGTCCAGCCTATATGTAAACGACACAGTATAGGTTTAGGAGCAGTTTTGTAGATCCCTTAGCTTCGGGATAGACTAGCATGTCCAGCAGGCTGGTTGTGTAGTTTCTGGACGTACATATTTTCCCTTTCATTCACTTTCGTGATCAACACTCCCGCCACTTGAAGACAATTGATAGGATCTAACTAGTCTCATCATCATAATGCACTCTTAATTGGTTGTTGTTATTGTTAGATGGTCGGCAGTGATCGGTTGGAAACTTTGTTTACCACTAATCAGCGTGGTGTCTGCTACTACCGTGATAACCCTTCAGAGATTCAAACCCGAGTCATCCAGTTGCAGTAATGCAGCTGGAGACAAATTACTACTGAGTTCTTCTTGGGTTCATGGCTGACGAGTGCCAAAAGGCACGAAAGGTAGGTCGCCGGCCGCCTTCCGTCGTCTGATACTGTTTTCGTATCACGTACGACCGGCACAGTCGTACATCTGTCTTTCAATAAAAGTTATCAAAAATATAAATTTCTTTTTCCGTTATTCTTTATTTTATTTTTCAGGTGTTTACTCCCCCACGGAATGCCCGTGAAGGCGAACATGGTTCTCTTACTGTTTATGATAATGAAAATGATCTTCCAATGACGTCGAAATGCCTACAAGAACGTGTTATGCAACGTGTACGTGTTATCGAAAGACGTCACCAGATGGAAGATGGAAGTAATCCGGCTGGTGGAGCAGATGCTGGTTCATCAGCGAATGGCCCCGGTGTGGTTGGCGCTGGTGGGTCGGAAAAGCGTCGTGAAAGTTCACTGACCACAGATGATGCTGGGCTTCCGCCATCGGATTCGCCTAAAGGAAGAGGTGGAGATGGCGATCGTGGTTCATTATGGCGTAGTGGTGGGAATGGTCCGTCGGGTGGTGGTTCTTCTGCAGATCGTCGATCAGGTGGTTCATTCCAACGTCCAGAATATCGTGGAAGTGGGGCTGGTGGTGGTTATTATGGCAGAAATCGACCTCGAGGCGGTGCCGGAGGAGGGTCTAGATGGCGTGGCCAGTATGATGATTATCGTGTACGTCGGAATAATTGGCACAATCATCGGTATGTTAATATTATTATTATTCCATTTCATCCTTTTTACTGTACAGTCCTCCAGCTGGCTCTATGACCCCCCCTATCGGTTCTCATTCCCCCCCCCCACCCCACACGACCTACTCCATAGGATTATTCTCGGACACATGCTCTACTTGACATTTCTCATTCGGGCTCTACTTAAGCGATGGTCTGGCGCACTATGACATTCCACCGTTATCTCATTGGGTGTCTGATCCATCAGTCTCCATTTCCTTTGGCATATGTGTTGGTCAACAGGTTCTTGATTGATTTGTTGCCTATCAGAGTTCCTTTTCGCTTATCCGGGTAGTGAAGACAGCTCTTCACGAATGCCTGTGGTAATCTCTTGGAAATACTTTTTGTGACGCGTCAAGTCTGCGAATCATACAGAAGCATTGATTTACTTAATAGTAGTGTTGAAAATGTGAATTTTGTCCTTCATACTTGATGCAGTAGATTTCCACACTGATTTCTGATCCGATCCTGTCTTTGACACCCTCATCCATGCGACTGTCTATACTTGAAGCTATATATCCAAAATTAGTGAGAAGCGCGACCACATTCAATTTTCTTTTGTTGATAGTGACTGGTGCTTGTTGTTGCTGTTGGTTATTGGGTATCTACATCACCTCTGTCTTGTATGTTTATCCCCTAAAGGATCTTGTCTTCGCTGCCAATAGTTTGTGCGATTTTAGGTATAAGGAATACTCAGCAAAGTTCAAATCTTTTAGGATCTTTTTATCGGTTCAACAAATGTATTTTCTGTGTAGTGTCAATTTAACTTTTTCAGTATTCTATTCTACTATATATTTGCTTTTACTCCCTTCATACACAGCTATGATGAACGTAGACGTGATGCATCAGGTCGAGCTGGAAGTGCCAGCAATTTCGACCGTCGTCGGAAGCGTTACGGTGCATCTGGATCAGCTGAGCGTTCACCTAGATCATCTCGTTCCCATTCAAGGTCACGTTCACATGTGTCAAAGAGTCGATCCCGATCATACTCACGTAGTCCTCGATCTTCTTCACCATCCCCGTCACCAATCCGCCCTGTTAATCGTGGACGGTAAGTGAAGTCATTTTCTCCTCATTCTGATTTTTGTAAACTGTTTAGCCCCGATTGATAGCTGCATTGTATCTCAGTGTTGTGGTTTGCATTGGTGGTGGTGAGGCTTGCTTGTTACAGTCACCGCCTGTACCTGATGATGAACCACTCTGATTGGAACGAAAGCACTCCTGTTGGTCCTCTATTATTCTGGGAATTAGACTGAAAGCCATTCCCACCATTGGTTTAAGTCGTCTAACCAATGTTAAAGGTTTGCGGTCGAGATTGTACTGCCGGTGAAGCAGGAATTGTGACAGTGTTAGGATGTCTTCCCCTCGGACGACCAATTATGCTACCTCTTCGGTCTAGGGGGAAGAGGCGGAAATTATACATCCTTAGTCGGAGATGAGTTCCTAATGCGGATATAAGTTTCCATTTCTTCCACTTTCAGTGGTCATGAATCAGAGCTATAAAGATGGACAGAGTGAACTTTTGTTATGTAGCAGCTATGTATCGCCTCTACGTCAGTAATAACTTGGGTGGTCAACATGTTTGACCACTTCATTCCCTATCCCTAAGTAGTTAGAAGGTTGGTGTAGACCAGTCCTGTAGCATCATTTTACTTCTGACAGGAGCGAATCACATGGTAAACATTTGAAGATCTTCGTTCAGGATGTTCTGATTAATTTGCTGCATTCTTTCATCATTTTCACGTAGGAATAGGACATTGTCACTGGCATACTCTGTGCCCTGGGGTTAACAAGTCAGTCCCTACCGAATTCACTATGGTCAGTTAGGGTCAGTCTATTCCATTAGTACATCTGCGATGGAATCAAGCAAAATTAGGGAAACAGTGGACATCTCTGAATGACACCTAGGGGTGTCATCCACTCAAGCGACAACTCTCCGCTTATCTCTTACATGACTGTGGCCGATCATACACACTTTTGTAAGCCCTCCTTGACTCACTTGAACTGTTTTTAAGCGCATTGGCTTACACAGGAGAGATTTGATTGGTTAGAAGTTTGATCACAAGCTGAGTGACATCAGTTAATGGGGAACCAGTGTGAAACTAACCAACAAACTTGGGATACTTGACAGTTGTTTTGGCCTCCTCCTCTCACCAGTTAGGGACTCTTCAGCGATACACACTCACTCGTCATGGTTTTAGTGCAGGGCCTTCCAGTTAGAAAATGACCCCATAGATTCCCTCTTCCACCAATTGGCGATATATATATGTATATATATTGCGATCAACAGCCAATGTTACCCGATGAATAACTGTCCTCTTACCTGACATGGTATGGACTCCACGCTGGTCACGCACAACACTTCTCACTTGGAACTGCAGCTGTAACTTTATTTTCTTTTCCTATTTTCTTTTTCACAGTGTCATATCTCGTGCTCGTATAAAAACACCTCCATTGGCACCCCTCGTAACCAACTTTAAACGTAGTGAATCAGACGAGAATCTTGCTGAATTAGATCAGTTTGTTGCCCAGTTGAGAGCTAAACGTCAGCTACAACAACAGTTTCAACAACAACAATATATGGCTCAATTTCAAGAGATGCAAGGTCCAATTGTAAACACTCCAGCTGTAGCACCAACAGCCCCTTCATCACAGCATCTACCATCCGCAGCAGAATATGGCCAACAGTACCAGTCGCAGGCGTCTGCACAGAATAACACCAGTCCACTAAAAATCACCTATCGTCAAAGTGAAGCAGAACAGCAAGAAAATAGAGGAGGAGAACATGGGGGGGCCTCACAAAATGACTACAACAATGGCGGTGGGCATGACTCCCCAATGCAAGAAGATTCCCCAGAACCTCCACAAGCTCAATCACCACCACCTCCTATCATGGAGAATAATGAAGACTACTCGATGAAAGGCGGCGAAGATGATGGCAATATACCAGTAGAAAATGCAGCAGCCTAGTGTGTTTGTTGATTGTTCTTTGTTGCTGTTGTTGTTCTTCTAATATGGTTAGTTGGTTTGTTTGTGTTTAATATTGTGTAGAATTGTTCATCAGTCAGTCAATCAATCGGTCGATCAATGAATAAATTTAATCACTGTATTTTTCTGCATCCCTATTCCACCAAAAAGAGGTGAAAAATTGAATTTCCGAATACAATTCTTTTATTCGTGAGATGATGAGTGCGTGTTTTTCTATTTCTCTGTGTTGTTGATAATGTGTGGGATTCGAAGACTGCAATGAAATGCGCGTGAATCACTGGGGGGGGGGGAGGAGACTATAAATTGTCCAACAAAACTGTTAGAAATGAGGGTTTGTTGATTGAACAAATTTCTAAATAAGCATAATATTAAAAGTCGGGTCGGGTGTGAGGGTAAATACTCGCCACCAGTGACATTGGCTAGTTGCAGTCGCTCTATATTGTGGATTAACAGAAGTTGGAATTCATGGGTTGGCCATTGGATCGGGTCCCAGTGGCTCAATGGTCTACGAGCTTGCCCTGTAACTAGAAGGTCTTCAATCCGAACCTTTGTGGTGGGTGCGTTCTGCTGAAGGATCCCGAACTTAGCTGACGAAACAGCTGTTGAGTACTCCCTGGCTGGTTTTCCAATGGTCCTCTAGATGTTACCTCATGATGAAATCCTGTAACCAATCAAATTAAATCCATGCCAACCAACACTTGAATATTAGAAGTCGCTCTGAAGAACAACGATCTGATACAGTTGCCATGGCAGGGTGAGTGGTAGACTGTGTCGGAATGCTGTTTCATGTGGCCATACACGCTGTCGCCATAGCGTTTCTACCGTCAGGTAAGCTGTTTTAGGCACACTGCCACCTACCTTAACGAGATGAGTGACGGAGTGTGTTCCTCACAGAAGTGGTAAACACCGCTTGCGATATCCGAACAGGTGGAGGAAATGCAAGCTTACTTCATACCGGCGTGTGGGGGGTGAGTAGCTAGAAATTCATATTTCTAAATATACGGTGTGTAGATGGGCTGCTGAATGGCATATGAACGGGGGTGACCTCTCTTACGTGGCAACCACCTGCATACTTCTGTTGTCAGGATGTCTCGACATTGAGTAATACAACCCTACTGACAAACTGAAATTTTGTGTGGCATACGGCTTGATGCCCAGAATGTGCTAAGTTTCTGTTTCAATAAATATTACCCTTTCTTCCAATAAGTTCTCTTAAGGTTCATTTTATTTATAAAATGCAATCTTTAGATTTAGTATTCACTAAAGAGCGCATATAGCAGGTGGACTGTGCGGTGAATAGTGTTCATCATGAAAAGCAGTCAGCATGTGGTGAAATGGATTAGATGTAGTCGTATATATTGAGAGAAGATTAAACAATATCGAAAAGAAAAGATGTTTCTGAGTGTTGACTTCATTGGTTTGTGGGATTCTCCACGAGCTGAGTGACGTCAGTTAATGGTAGTCTATCGGGAAACCAACCAACGGGGCGTACTGGACAGCTTATTTCATCCCCTAGTTTGGGACTCACTCTTCAGAAATGTTCGCACCTAGCAGGATCTGAATTCCACGATTTTCCTGGTGAACATTCAACCACTGGGACGGGTTGCATTCGTTAAACACAGTATAAATATCGTAAGGAAACGATTGTAGAGATGAAAATTTTCTTTTCGATGAAGTCACCGTCAACCAGGCTGTACATTCGTGTACATACAGGAAATGTATGATAGAGTTCCAGGGATATTTGTGGTGGAGTGTCAAATTAGAACGAATGATAAGATTACAAATAAAGATCAAAATGTAATAATTACAAAGTTAATAGGAAGATCGGATAATATATATTAACGTTACAATAATGACCAGTTATGTAGCGGATGCATTTTTAACGCAGAATAACAAATTGATTATAGGGTAACAAAACAAATATTTATACTTGTGTGACAAACGTGCTAAGATAAGTTCAGTTACAAAGTATTGTGAAATGCAATACTATGATGGTGGTGATTAGTCATAATAGATTCATACAATGTGGGGTAGGAAAAACTGACAAGTCAGATCAAGGTTATAAAAGGTGTTGGGTGATTGCCTAGTATAAAGTAGTATGTATCAAGGATATAATAAGACTGCAACGAAAGGTTCATCATGAAATAACCAATATATGAAATGAAATACGTGGAGGCATGTTATTGGGAAAACAGGTAATGTCACTAATAATAAGTCCTAGTGTGGTGACAGCTGTCTGCAAGCCAAAAATGTAAACAACAATGTACGTCAATATTTACGTCCCGAATCAGGGTCATGAGAAAAAACAAGAACTAAGCCTTACCTTGAGGAACTCACCAGCCAATCACGGCAGACTGCGTGTGCAAATACGATTCTCAGCTATATGGATAACTTTGTAAGCAACAGTCATAAGCAGTACAGAATAACCTACAGCAAGAGAACAACCAATCAGAAGACGTCGCTTTTCTGCCAATAATAATGTACATAAAAATCTATAAATGTCTGTTGATTTTCTGAATAAACGATCTGATGCCTGGCCCTTGTCTTCTATCGTTGCACTAGTAGCATAGATGAAAAATTCGATAGTATTGAAAGAATGTTTGAATAGAGGGTATAAATCATAACGAATAATAATTGTAATAATCAGGAAAGCAAAAGAAAAACAAGAGATAAGGGGAAGATACACTCTGGGAGAGTAGAGGAAACTTTAGTCCAAGTCCACGGTTGTAACAGTGTCTGAACGTGTTCTTTTGGATACAAAGTTCCGGTCCAGTCAATCTTATTGCAACAGATTCAGCTATGTATGCAGGAGACGTAAGCAAACTGTACGTGATAACGACTTCGGAATATGGTATATAATCCTGAAGGTTGTGTTGGCGCCGATGTGATGTCCATAATCGACCAGGTGTGTTAGAATCAAGGTTTCTGTGCGTTTGACTTCCTTGCTGAATCAAGCTGGTAAATGTTCTCGAACCCGTAGACGAACCTGCGTAGCCATACGTCCCATATAACTTGGACCACAGGAACAATTGGAATAGTATATCCCTGAGGAAGAGCTAAGGTTAGGTGAGACGTCTTCATAGTTTCTGAGTGAACACCGGATTGCTACTGAGATGTAAAGCAGAGAGTTTCCTTTACCACTCTGGTTAGAAGTTGCGTTATAATCTCCGCAGGAGTTTCCACACCCCTAATTGTAGACGTAAAAATTAGGGTGTTTTCTAACCCACTGCCAGGTTATGCTTACGAATATTCTAACCAGTTTCATATATTTATTCCACTCAATGAATTTGAATAAAGCAGGAACAACAGTGATTTGTGCAGAATAAAGTGGTACCATCATATATTCCGTTGGCTTCTCATCAGTGGCTTGCAGGCCAAAGTCATTATTTAGTATATCTACAGGAACAATTCTAGAACAGTAGTCAATAGCAGTATTGATGTTTTCTAAATAATATTGATTTGTTAAGTAAGACCAATGGAATTACAGTTCATTAAAGATGCTTAAATAATAATAATTATTACTATAATAGAACTAAAATTAAGGAAATTTCTACAAAAAATCGAGGCCAAGGTAAGGACAATGTCTGAACTAGATTCTTTTGGACACATAAATGAGGCTTCTTAATGTGGATCTCAACGGCCTCAGAAATATTTAGTAAACGAACTCTTAAGGTGAAGTTAAGATTTGTTGGTATCCGGTAAATGATATATATATAAACACTTCATGCAGAACAATAGTGATCATACACAACAAAACTTTCACATCATGTAATCAGATGAATGAGAGGGTGAAAATGTCCAGTGACCAGAGCAAAGAAAGATTGATAACTGCTTCTCTCTGAACGCATACATCGGATTTCAGGCGCTTGATGAAGATCGCTTCGGGAAACTTGAGGAGAAGTGAACTCTTTTGCCTATTGATAATTTTGAAAGATCTTGTGACGTCCACCTCAAATTCTAACCAATGTTGGCTTTAATTAACTTCTCTGGATATCCGTTCTCGCTTAGAATATCCCGGATGATCTGAAGTTCTTCCTTCTACACACAATCTTCTAAGCGATTCTAGCTCACTCTAAATGCTAAGCACTTGATCGGATTACCTGTGTATGTCACAGGTATGAAGTTAAGGAAGTGTGTATATTGAGCTTTGGTTTCTAGCCTTCTAAATATGATTCTCTTGATGGAACTATCCTCTCTTCTCGTTAGTAAGATGTCGAGGAAGTGCAGAGAGTCGTTGTATCCTCCTTCGTAGGTGAAATGGACCGTTGGGTGAGCACTGTTGAAGTGGTTGAAAGTCAAATCACTACGTAATTCTTCATCGTACGCTACAAAAGTGTCATCCATGTAAGCACAATGCATTTCTATTTCTGCTATTTCATCCTTCAATGAACTATTTTCTAGAGATTTGTAAAAAATATATTTGTGGAATCCTAGCGAAATTGAAATGAGTAATTCCAATGTTTCGTTCGGCTAACTGGTCGAACTTCTTCAGGGGAATTAAAATATATAAAAGGACATCTCTTGTTTTTAGATAACTTGGTCCAGTCATATGAGTCATGAAACAGGTATCAACATGTATAATAAACAAAATGGTATGATTTACAATTGTTTCCCCATACGCACACAAACACACACCAATATATACTGCATATATATACATATATACATATATTTTCATATTCAGTTATCTACGACCATGATCGAAAGATATCTCTAAAATTCTGATGAAAAGTACACATCGTATAAAGTGTTTAACAAAATTAGACTGGTATTTGTAAGCATGAGGTCAAATTTTGATCACAGCTCATACAGTTTTGTTTATTATATTTTGATGACTGTTTTTTGACTCATATATTTGGACAAATCCTTTTCCAAAAACAAGAGATGTCCCTTTTATATTTAGGGCCTCTGTTAGTTTAATTTAGATTAATTTTTCCTGAAGAATTCCGGACCAGTTTGCCGAAAGAAATATTGGAATTACTTATTTCAATTTCTCTAGGATTTTTCAAATATAACTTTTACAAATGTCTACTTCTCACTCGACGCCCAATTATTTTAGAACTATTCAGTCAAATCTTGATCACAGTTCATATGGACTATTTTCTAGATTTGTTAAAAATACATCCACAAAAATAGACCTTAGTGAGGAGGAAACCCATGATCAATTAGTGGTC